AAGATTGAGGGTGAAATCCAGTCTCCCAAGCTTGACATTGAAGGACCAGATGTTAATATCGATGGGTCCAAAGGAGGATTTAAAATGCCTAAATTTAAAATGCCACATTTTGGAGGAAAAGGTGCAAAACTGGAGGGACCAGACATTGATGTCAGTCTTCCAAAACCGGATATTGACCTCAAAGCCCCTGAAGTGGATATCAAAGGACCACATGTTGACATTGAAAGTCCAAGTGGTAAAATGAAAGGACCCAAAATTAGCATGCCCACCATTTCAGGACCATCTTTTTCACTTCCAGAAGTAGATTTCAATATGAAAGCTCCAAAAATCAAAGGTGAAGTGGACATGTCCATTCCAAAGATTAAGGGAGACATTAAAACACCCGATCTTGACATCAAAGGTCCAGAGGTCGACATCCATGGGCCTAAGGGTGGAATTCAAATGCCTAAAATCCAAATGCCATCACTTGACATCAATGTCCCAAAACTGGAGGGTCCAGATGTTGATATAAAACTTCCCAAGGGTGGCATTGATGTTAAGGCACCTAAAGTTGGCATTAAGGGACCAGAAATTGATGTTGAAGGTCCTGATGCAAAACTCAAAGGACCCAAATTCCAAATGCCCAGCATTTCAGGACCCAAGCTGCCTGACTGGGATATTAATCTGAAAGGGCCCAAAATTAAGGGAGATGCTGATGTGTCAGTTCCGAAGATTGAGGGTGAAATCCAGTCTCCCAAGCTTGACATTGAAGGACCAGATGTTAATATCGATGGGTCCAAAGGAGGATTTAAAATGCCTAAATTTAAAATGCCACATTTTGGAGGAAAAGGTGCAAAACTGGAGGGACCAGACATTGATGTCAGTCTTCCAAAACCGGATATTGACCTCAAAGCCCCTGAAGTGGATATCAAAGGACCACATGTTGACATTGAAAGTCCAAGTGGTAAAATGAAAGGACCCAAAATTAGCATGCCCACCATTTCAGGACCATCTTTTTCACTTCCAGAAGTAGATTTCAATATGAAAGCTCCAAAAATCAAAGGTGAAGTGGACATGTCCATTCCAAAGATTAAGGGAGACATTAAAACACCCGATCTTGACATCAAAGGTCCAGAGGTCGACATCCATGGGCCTAAGGGTGGAATTCAAATGCCTAAAATCCAAATGCCATCACTTGACATCAATGTCCCAAAACTGGAGGGTCCAGATGTTGATATAAAACTTCCCAAGGGTGGCATTGATGTTAAGGCACCTAAAGTTGGCATTAAGGGACCAGAAATTGATGTTGAAGGTCCTGATGCAAAACTCAAAGGACCCAAATTCCAAATGCCCAGCATTTCAGGACCCAAGCTGCCTGACTGGGATATTAATCTGAAAGGGCCCAAAATTAAGGGAGATGCTGATGTGTCAGTTCCGAAGATTGAGGGTGAAATCCAGTCTCCCAAGCTTGACATTGAAGGACCAGATGTTAATATCGATGGGTCCAAAGGAGGATTTAAAATGCCTAAATTTAAAATGCCACATTTTGGAGGAAAAGGTGCAAAACTGGAGGGACCAGACATTGATGTCAGTCTTCCAAAACCGGATATTGACCTCAAAGCCCCTGAAGTGGATATCAAAGGACCACATGTTGACATTGAAAGTCCAAGTGGTAAAATGAAAGGACCCAAAATTAGCATGCCCACCATTTCAGGACCATCTTTTTCACTTCCAGAAGTAGATTTCAATATGAAAGCTCCAAAAATCAAAGGTGAAGTGGACATGTCCATTCCAAAGATTAAGGGAGACATTAAAACACCCGATCTTGACATCAAAGGTCCAGAGGTCGACATCCATGGGCCTAAGGGTGGAATTCAAATGCCTAAAATCCAAATGCCATCACTTGACATCAATGTCCCAAAACTGGAGGGTCCAGATGTTGATATAAAACTTCCCAAGGGTGGCATTGATGTTAAGGCACCTAAAGTTGGCATTAAGGGACCAGAAATTGATGTTGAAGGTCCTGATGCAAAACTCAAAGGAACCAAATTCCAAATGCCCAACATTTCAGGACCCAAGCTGCCTGACTGGGATATTAGTCTGAAAGGGCCAAAAATTAAGGGAGATGCTGATGTGTCAGTTCCAAAGATTGAGGGTGAAGTCCAGTTGCCAAAATTTGAACTCGAAGCACCAGATACAAAAGTTGCTCTTCCAGAAGTTGGCGCAAAGAAAATAAAATTTAAAATCCCAAAGGTTGGTTTCAAAGGACAAAAGATAAAGGCCTCAGAAAGTGATGTGAAGTTAGTACAAGGAGATGTCAAAATTAAAGGTAAGACTGGTAGCTCTGAAGGTGTTGAGGTTGACCTGGGATTGAGTGGACCAAAGACAAAGGGATCTAAATTGAAACGACCCACATTTAATATTAGAGGACAAAAGCCTGAAATGCCAGGGGTTGATGTTGATCATCCCAAAATTTGCAGTGAAATAAAAACACCCGATCTTGACATCAAAGGTCCAGAGGTCGACATCCATGGGCCTAAGGGTGGAATTCAAATGCCTAAAATCCAAATGCCATCACTTGACATCAATGTCCCAAAACTGGAGGGTCCAGATGTTGATATAAAACTTCCCAAGGGTGGCATTGATGTTAAGGCACCTAAAGTTGGCATTAAGGGACCAGAAATTGATGTTGAAGGTCCTGATGCAAAACTCAAAGGAACCAAATTCCAAATGCCCAACATTTCAGGACCCAAGCTGCCTGACTGGGATATTAATCTGAAAGGGCCCAAAATTAAGGGAGATGCTGATGTGTCAGTTCCAAAGATTGAGGGTGAAATCCAGTCTCCCAAGCTTGACATTGAAGGACCAGATGTTAATATCGATGGGTCCAAAGGAGGATTTAAAATGCCTAAATTTAAAATGCCACATTTTGGAGGAAAAGGTGCAAAACTGGAGGGACCAGACATTGATGTCAGTCTTCCAAAACCGGATATTGACCTCAAAGCCCCTGAAGTGGATATCAAAGGACCACATGTTGACATTGAAAGTCCAAGTGGTAAAATGAAAGGACCCAAAATTAGCATGCCCACCATTTCAGG